CTGCGGCGGCCATTGGAGGGTGAACCAACAGCAAAAGGAAGACCTTTCTCTCTGTCTCTCTCTCTCTCTCACTGTCCACTCTGCCTGTCCAAAAAAAAAAAAAAAAAAAAAAAAAAAAAATCACAAGTTTCTAAAAACATGTGGCTAGTAAATGGCAGAGAGGAATTCAAAGTTTTGCCCACTCCAATCCAAAGTTGACATCCTTCCCATTAAACCACAATTTCTTCTACATCTACAACATATTATTTAGAGTTAAATAATAACACTGTTATACCTCCAAGGGAGACAACTCTGTCCAGAACTTCTGAAATCTTTCTTCTTTAATGAGCTATGACTAACTTGTTCAGTGGCATGTGATTTAAAAAAATAAATAATTAACATGTGATACATTTTAACTCTGGCCCTAAAAATGTCTGGAAAAATATTGTAACAATTCACAAGTTAATCACTTTTAAAACTAAGTTAAGCTGAATAATAAAAACTTTAAAACTTGTATAAGAATGAGACAGCTAAGAGGATAACGCTTTTTGGGTAGCCTAGCAGAAACTGCAGGGAAACTGTAAAAAATAACAACCCATGTGAAATTTCAAAATTACTCTTCAGGGTTTAAAAAACAGAAAAAGGCAAAATCATGCAACTCTTCACTGTAGTAAGGATCTTTACTTAGTGCTAAAATAGAGGCAAGAATTTTTATGTCTCCAAAAGGAGTATTAAAATACTCCTCATTGAACATACCTGTCCCCCTGAGTATGTGGGCTGCTTGTGCCAAAATGTCTATTATTGTGATCAATGAATGTGTCCTGGGGTGCCAATTTTTTTGGAGACTTGTTGAAATTTCTTTGTAGTTCAGTATATGTTTAACTTTATTAGAATCAATTTTGCTACTTATGTCCATATATATGTACATCTATAGACATAACTGAATAGAGAAACAAAAAATTAATGGCAGTAGCTTTCTCTAAGTGATAAGACATTCTATATAATTAGCATACAAAGTTTTTTCATGGAGAAATATTTTCCTAATGACAAAAATTACTATGTTCTCACCTAATATAATTTTATGACAACAACAGAACTTTAAGAAAATGTTAAATTACATTTTATATTATTTAAGATTGTAGGATAGAATAAGGAATACATTAGAAAATATTCCACCAAATTTAAATTTCAAGAACAATTGCTCCTGAAAGAAGAGAAGTTCAATTACTGCAAAATTAATTTTTAAAAGAGTTAGTTATTTATTTGAAAAGCAGAATCACAGAGAGGGAAGGGGAGGGAAAAAGAAAGACAGACAGACAGACATTGATCTTTCATCCATTGGTTTACTATTCAAATGGCTACAACAGCCAGGGCTAGGCCTGGCTGAAGCCAGAAGCCTGGAACTCTAGCAGAGTCTCCCACATGATGACAGGGGCCCAACTACTTGGGCCAACCTCAGCTGCTTTCCCAGGTGCATTAATAGGGAGCTGGATCAGAAGTGGAGCAGCCAGGACTCAAACCACTGCCCATATGTGATGCCAGAATAGCAGGCAGTAGCTTAACTTGCTGCAATGCTGGACACTCCTATCCCTATCTCCTGCCTTTTCTAACAAATCCTAACAGGTAGTAAGCAGGAAATAAATACTGGTCAAATTGTATTTGTATTGTTACTACAACAACCTCCTAATTAATTCATGTGCCAACAATCTCCTTCCTCCACTTCAACTTCCTCCCTCCATTCCAACCTCCAGTCAACTTTATAAAACACAAACCTAATCAAGTCCCTTCCCTGATTAACTACTCTGATGTCTAGTTTTCCTGCATCTCTTCCCAATCTTTCTGTCACACCTGATGCAACAACAACATCACACATCATTTGCCCTTCAAATCAAATTTGAAACAAGTATCAGTTCCCCAGCTAATCATATAGCAGGTTCTGAACCAAGATTTAAATTACTTTTCTATCTTCATCTGTTACCTTCATGTTGACTTCTGCACATACACTCCCACTCCTCATCAGCCTTTCTAAAGAACATATTCCAAAATAGATGCTATTCTCTCTGCCTCCCTAACGAGCCACCTTACTGCCCAATTAAACTACCTGCCTCATGCTTGATCTCACACTACTAAGACTGATGCCAAGTGTATTGCCCTTTTGATACCACAGAAATTCTTCCAACATAATCATGTAAAGTGAGCCCCGGGCAAATTGAAGTAGTTTCAAAACATGACACAAAATCACAGAGGGTAGTGATTGAATTTAAACGGCTGCTTACAGATTGTTTAGAATACTAATGTCAGATTCTTTGAACTTTAACTCTGAGATCTCATGTGGAAGCTGGTTTAAAATTTTATTGATAAGGAAGTAGAGACTAAAATGCAGATTTCTATGAATGTCTGATCAAAAACAGGCAAAAACAGATTATTACTTTCTTTTCAAGACTATCTATCCCTAAGTACTAAGACAACTAAGATACAACCTAGAATTTTTAGGCTCCACTATCTATAGTCAGTATTTTGATTAATCAAAATCCTATAATACTAGAGGAAAGATCTAGTGCATTTAATATCATTTCAGTATAATTTATTTCCTAAGTCAATTATTTATTTTAGGTGGAACTACAATACTAGCCCCATTAAAAATCTTGAATTAAAATTCACTTGTGCTATTAATACTAGTCACCAGGAAACCTCCTCTAGAACCTACTAGCTTTATTCAAAACTATTTATCCTCCATTTCTTTTTTGGTAATTCAAGTTGGGTTCATCTGAGCACTTCTTTTGATCTGTAGCGCTTATGCTTGCACACATTTGTCATTCACTGATGTTATGAACTGATAATGCCCCACCACCCCCAACACATATATATATTTAAATCCTAACACACAACAGCATGTTATGAAGATATGAGGTCTCTGGAAGGTAATTAGGTCATAAAAGTGGGGCCTTCACGTGTGATATTAATGCTCTTATGAAAGAGACCCTAAGGGGCCAGCACTGTAGCTGGCCAGTAAAGCTCGCCACCTGTGGTGCCGACATCTCATAGGGGTACTGGTTCATGTCCGGCTGCTCCACTTCCAATCCAGCTCTCTGCTATGGCCTGGGAATGCTGTGGTAAATGGTCCAAGTCCTTGGGCCTCTGAACCAGTGTGGGAGACATGGAAGAAGCTCCAGGCTCCTAGCTTTGGATCAGCTCTGCTCCGGCCACTGTGCCCATTTGGGTACTGAACCAGCAGATGGGCAACCTCTCTCTCTCTCTCTCTCTCTCTCTCTTCTCTGCCTCTCTGTAATTCTGCCTTTTGAATGAATAAATAAATAAATAAATATTTTAAAAAAAAGAGAGACATCAGAGCTCTCTCAGCCTATTCTGTCTTGTGAGGACACAAGTAGTTGGCAGTCTGCAACACAGAAGAAGGCTCTCACCAGAAACTGACCATGCTTACCATAGTTCCAGCCCCCAGAACTGGGAGAAATGAATTCCTGTTGCTTACAAGCCATTAGAGCTGTTGTAATTTGTTACAATAGCCAAAACTAAGATAATTGGGGTGACTTATTTTTGCCTCAGGCAGTCTCTCATCCTTTAGTCTGTTATCCTGGGCTTACATAAATGGTGGCTGGGTAATCATGGAGCAGAGAATGCCAGCTGTGTGGAGGGCTTGTCTTACAGCCAGCAAACCACCCCTTCTAACACACTCTTATGGCCAAAATAGTTGTAAACCAGCCCAGAATCTAACAGCCAGTAAACAGATTCACCTCCACCTCTTGTTGAAAGGAGCGCAGACACATTACATACACAGGAAACAGTGAATTGTGGCCATGTATTTTACAGTGTGGGAGGTATAACTAAATGATAGGACACCAATGGCAGCTAAATTTGGAAATGTCTTCAATGTTAGTTTTGAAAAATAAATAATTTAAAATAAAAATAACCACACTATGATTAACGATATGAATTACAAATTATATACAGGGGGCCAGCGCCAAGGTACAGTGGGTTGGTCCTCCACCTGCGGCACCGGCATCCCATATGGGCGCCAGTTCTAGTCCCCGCTGCTCCTCTTCCAGTCCAGCTCTCTGCTATGGCCTGGGAAAGCAGTGGAGGATGGCCCAAGTCCTTGGGCCCCTGCATCCACATGGGAGACCAGGAAGAAGCTCCTGGCTCCTGGCTTTGGATCAGCACATCTCTGGCCATTGCAGTCATTTGGGGAGTGAACCAACGGAAGGAAGACCTTTCTCCCTGTCTCTCCCTCTCACTGTCTGTAACTCTACCTTTCAAATAAAATAAATAAAAAGTTTAAAAAATATATACACAGGAAGTAAAGTATTTTATATAAAATGCCCATAAAATCAGATTATAGGCAAAATTATTTTAATTGCTTTATATTAACTTTGACATTATGCGTAAACAATAAAATACATGGTCTGGTGTGGCATGTAATGGTATGTACACTATGGGCATTTAACGAATACTTTTTGCCTGCATAAAGAAAGAACAGTTGAGTTTTATTGCTTTCCCTTTGAAAGGGAACCATGGGAGAGTTTCGTACAGGACAGTGACAGGACCAGATTTAAGATATGCTTTTTGTCTCCATTTTTAAATGGCATCATGACTCGGGAAGCAATCTAGTCAAGAGAGTTCTTTAGTCTTACACAGAATTGTTTCCCCGTTTGTAATGCAGTTCATTCCCAGAACTCCCCCGGACAAAGCAAGACTCTACTCAGTCACCTTTTACAAAACTTACCGACTACTCATAGCATTCTACAATTGGCTTTGGTGCCCCTGCGCTATTCCTGACACTCGTCATGCTGTATGGCAATTGTTTCCTCCACTGGACTGGGGATGCTTCAGGAACCTGAAGGAGCGGCTTACTCCTCAGTCACAGTGACTTGACAGAGTAAGGCATCCCACAGAAGTTCAGTGAATCAACAGGAGGTGGAATGGCCCGTGGGGAAATCATTTACACGTGTGTAAGGCTATATCGGGCCAAACGGCTGTAAAACGGCCGGCAGAAGTCGCTCGGCTATAACGCAAAAATCACACCGGACGCACCCGAAGTTTCCCCAACTCTTAAGCTTCGTTTTACGGCAAATCCTGAGAGTCCTGCCGCAGATGCCGTAAAAGATTACCAAGTCCCAGTGGGGATCCCACTTCCGGTTTTGCGGCACCGTCTGGGCGGGAAAGTGCCCGGCTGTCGGTTAGAGGGAGAGTCCTCGCCCCGCCCCCTCGGGCCCCACTACCAGGCTCTGCGACCCAGCGCTGGGCGCCGTTTAAGACCTCCCCTACTCCCCGTCGCTGGTGCCATGGAGGCGGCGGGAGAGGCAGAAGTCGAAAATGAGGATGGCGACAGCAGCTGCGGGGATATGTGCTTCATGGACAAAGGTTTACAGAGGTAAAGGGCGCTCCGCATCCTGGAGCGGCCCGCGCACCCCTGGGCTGGGGCCGGGGGGCAGCGGGCGGCCTGGCCGAGCGGAAGCGCGCCGCTGCTCTGCCCACTCCACACACGCACACGCACACGGGAGGCTGCAGGCCGCCGGGCTCCGCCGACACTACCCCGGGGAAATGCCCCCAGTGAACCAGGCCTGCGTTCCCTCCTCGCCCTCGCTTTCCTTACGGCCCCGCACAGCCCTGAAACTGCCGCACGACGTGGAGCTGCCCAGGCTCTTGCTACTGCTCCGTTCTGCTGGCCCTCTGTTCTGTTCTAGTTATTCCTCCGCTTACCCTTTGATTGCTGGTCTTCTCGTATTGTCCCTTGTCTGTCTTCTGCCACTCGTGCCCTGAAAGTAAATAAATGAGTGGCAGCGTAGTTCTTGCAGCAGCCTTGGCGGGACCATTCGCTTCTCTTCGTCAATTTTGCCTCACTTCCCTATACTCCCATCCTAATGTCTTGTTTACGGAGCACTGTAACTTAACACGTACTTGCCAAATTCACTGTTTGAATTCCTTGTTTCCCGCTCTTGCTGCCTGAGCTTGTGCATGGCATCTGAAGCTCTGGGTTCTGAATTTCTGATTGGTCGCTGCCTGGTTTTTCCATCTCCACTCCACATTTCACCAGCTGCCCTCTGCGGTTAGCTATACTGGGCAAGTCTCCTCTGCCTTTGCACGCACTGTTCCTTTGGGGAGTGTCTCCCTCTGTACTGCTGATAATTAAGCACCTCGTAGGCATTGCATGATGAAGGAGACTCAGGGAACCCAAATGATTCGCCTGACTTAATGCAGTTGGTGAGAAATTAATTTTTAATGCGAATCCATTTCTGTTATTTTTGTGGTCTCCTTTTCCACTGTTGCATGTTACGTATTAATTTCCAGAACTGAAATGTGTCAGAAAGTAAATGGCTGTTTTTAAGAGCGTATTTAATAGCATAAGGCCTGGCACTAATTAAGAGTTTAGTAAATAACAGAAACTGGATAATTGGAAAATTCTTGAAACATGCACATTTAGAGATTTCTGGTTAGAAATTTGCAGATGCTTCCTTGCTGCAGAATTAGGTTTCTTTCAGTTGTGTAGTAGCTGTTACAGATCCTACAAGAGGTTACCATGACATTGAGTATCCCTTTGCCTGACTGCACCTCCCATGTAGCAACTCTAAACTATGTACTTACAGTTTGTGTTCCTGGAACTGCAATCTTCAGAAGAGGTTTCAATTATAAATAGTGGTTAAGAGTGAAGAGATGAGTTTTGTTTAGGAGAGATGCATTCCAGTTTCAACAAGGAGGAGGGGGACTTTTTCACTAGAAATAGCAATAATTAGTGGTTTTATTGGAAATCAGCTGCATTGTAGATTAAGCAGCCATTGCAGACAGTGAAGAAAATAGGATCATAAACTCCAGCACTAGATCTGGATTTATACCTGAGCTCTGTTAACATCAGAACTGCAAGAATGTGGGCAAGTTATTTAATTTCTATAAACTTAAAGTAATCTTATGATCCTTACTGCTGAGAATTGCTGTGACAATTTAATGAGATAAGTAAACTGATGTTTAAGAGGTCATTTGTTGAAGTAACAGCAAAAAAAATGGTAGAATGCAGGATTGAACAGAGTGCTAAGATTTCAGAGCACATACAATTATTGATTGTTTAATTCTGGGTTTATTATATGCTGATGACTGTTCACACACAGTAGCTAGATTTGTCCAGGGTCAGCTACCTTTTTTGAGTGGTTTTGCATTTGTTTGAATAGTACAGAATACTGCTTTGTGTTGTAGGAAGTAGTGCTTCATGAGACATTCAACAATAGGTAAATAGTAAGTAGAATTCCATTGTAGAATGAGAGGAGCATATACTATCTACCTGATGTTTGGTTAATTTTAATTATTTGGTCATATATTTTAAATGCCTTTTTACTTGTTTCTCATAATACATTTTCTTTTGTAGCATATCACAGTTATCTTTAGATTCAACCCTTCATGCCATCAATCTTCATTGCAACAACATCTCTAAGATCAAAGCCATTGATCATATTTGGAATTTACAACATTTAGATCTGTCATCTAATCAAATAACTCAAATTGAAGGGCTAAGCACTCTGACAAAGCTATGTACTTTAAATTTGTCCTGCAACTTGATCACAAGAATAGAAGGTTTGTAAGTGATTTTCATTTAATACTTTGCACAAAGAAGATGACTTAAGTATTTTGGAATAAAAATTATAAACTTTTGAAAATTGACACCAAAGTTCATTATACAAATAGTTTTCTTCCATAAAATTACCAAGTTTTTAAAACCTAAATATTTTTCAAAATATCAATAAAATTGATTTTACTGTTATCAAACTGGTTTTGTTTCACAACAGTCAGAAATGATATTGCAATGCCTCGTCTCACTAATTTTTTAATCTTGAAAAGTTTTATTTTCATTTTCTTTTAGGACTTGAAGCACTAATTAATCTGACTAGACTGAATTTATCATATAACCACATAAATGATCTTAGTGGTAAGTAGATTTGCTTGTTTTCTGTAATGCTAAATATTTTTAACATGTGATGAGTTAGCTTTAGTTCAACATGTTGGAAAACTCTGAATAATCAATTTTTGACTAAATTTCTCAACTAGAGAGTATACTTCAGCCATAATTCTTTTATTCATAATTCTTTTATTCATACCAAAACCACAGATGAGTAAAAAAAATAAGGAATAGAGACTAGGATAATCTAGAGCAAAAATAAATAAATAAATAAGATGAGAACGATCCCTTTTAGGGGAGTAATACTTCAATCTTAGATAACTGAGCAATATACTCTTATATGGAAAAGGGTGGTTTCAATAGAATAGTCTACAGTATCTTTGCTGACTGATATGACAGCCAGTAGTCCAATGTGGCTGTTCACCGTGGGAAATGTGACTAGTGTAACTTAGGGTATGAATGTATAATTTTAATTAATTTTAAATTAAACATGAAATGTCAAGTTAAATGTGGTAGTTGATGTGTACCACATTGAATAGTGGAGGTATGCAGCAATCCTAAGGTTGTGACAAATTGTGGAACAATTGAAGTTATTAAGGTTACTAAAACGTTTAGTATGTATAAGAAGATTTAATTTGTTATCTAGTTTTTAATTGATTAAAGTGATAGTGATAAATTGAACAAAATTTCATGATCTGAGAGTTGTGTAGTAGAGCCAGCAAAATTCTAGGGCCAGTGTTGTGGTATAGCAACTTAAGCTGCCGTTTGCAATGCCAGCATCCCATGTTGGAGTGGTAGTTCAAGTCCCAGTTGAGTCCTGGCTGCTCCACTTCCCTTACAGCTCCCAGCTAATGTGCCTGGGAAAGCAGCAGATGATGACCCAAGTGTGTGGGGCGCCTGCCACCCATTTAGGAGATCCTGATGAAGTTCCTGGCTCCTGGTTTAAAGCCAGCCAAACCCTGGTCATAGCAGCCATTTGGGGAGTGAACCAGTGGATAGAAGATCGATCTCTTTCTCTCTGTCTCTCTCTCTCTTTCTCTCTCCCTCCCTTTCTTTGTTTTTCTTTGTTTTTCTTCCCCACTAGAAAAACAATGCCCTATGCCAGGTGCTTAGTATACAAAAAATAAAAAGACCTATTCACACCCTTCAGCTGAAGTAGTGGCTATATTTTAAATTTTTAAATGTTTTTCCCCATAAAGACATGAAAATGTTAAAACTGGAGTTTCAACCTTTTGTGTGTCACTGTTGTATGGTATTGAGCAAGGTATTTTATTCTTTGAATATGGTTTCCTTACCTGAAAAATATGAATATAGGATAAAATAACTCATTCATTTACTCAATGCAAATTTACTGAGGATAACTATGAAACACTTCCAGAGTGATGAGAAAATGAACAGTAAAAATAAAAGTCTGTCACAGAGCTTATATGATAGTGGAGAAGAAAAACAAGTAAATAAAATTATGTTAACTCCCTAAAAAACAAGCAAGAGATTTCAGTACCTACCTCACAAGCAGATACACGGGGGCAGGCATTGGGCATAGCAGGTTAGTCCCCCACTTGAATCTGGTTTGAGTCTTTGGCTACTCTGCTTCTTCTGATCCAGCTTCCTGCTAATGTGCCTGACAAGCAGTAGATAATGGCTCAAGTACTGAGTCCCTGCCACCCACGTCAGAGACCAGAATCGAGTGCCTGGCTCCTGGCTTCAGCATGGCCCAGCCTCAGCTGTTGCAGGCATTTGGGGAATGAACCAGTGGTTGCAAAATCTTTCCCTCTATCTCTCTCTATCTTTCTCTCTCTCTCTCTCTCTTTTTCTCCCTCTCTTTCTCCCTCTCTCCCCCTCTCCCCCTTTCCCCCTCTCCCCCTCTGCCCCTTTCCCCCATCCTTTCTTTCCTTCTTCATCCCTCCCTTTCTCTCCCCTGATTGTCTTTCAAGTAAATAAAAATGAGTAAACGTTTTTTTAAAAGAAGGTATACAAATGGCAAATGAGCACATGAAAAAAATCATGTTTACCTTTCTTAGTGATTAAGAAAATACAAACTAAAACTGCAATAAGATAACATTTCAGACATGGAATATCTCAAGTTTCATAAACTGACAATGTGTTTGCAAAATTGTAGAGTAACTAAAATTTACATACATTGCTAGTAGAGTTTAAAATGATACAAAAGGATTTGGCAGTTCCTTATTATGGTAAACATAGACTTACATGTAGTCATGCAGTCTCACTCCTGGCTTTTACCTAAGAGAAACTAAAACATATCCACAGAAAGACCAGTACATAGATGTTCCTATGATTATATTGCTGTGTATGTGATTACTTAAAAATTGATTAACCTCAGGGCCGGTGCCATGGCTCACTTGGTTAATCCTCCGCCTGTGGCACCAGAATCCCATATGGGCACCAGGTTCTAGTCCTGGCTGCTCCTCTTCCAGTCCAGCTCTCTGCTGTAGCCCGAGAGGGCAGTGGAGGATGGCCCAAGTGCTTGGGTCTCTGCACCCAATGTGGGATACCAGGAAGAAGCACCTGGTTCCTGGCTTGGGATCAGCGCAGCACCGGCCATAGAGGCCATCTGGGGAGTGAACCAGCGGAAGGAAGACCTTTCTCTCTGTCTCTCTCTCTCACTGTCTATAATTCTACCTGTCAAACAAATTTAAAAAAATTTTAAAAAAAATCGATCAACCTATATGTCTGTCATTGGGTAAATAAACAAATTGTGATTAATCCATACAGTGGAATTATACTTAGAAATCAAAAGGAATGACCAGTGGTACATGTAGCAACATAAATAACTCTGAAAAAGAATGATTCTAAATCAAAGGAGCCAGACACCAAAGGCTATACTGTGTGATTCAATTTATAAGACATTCTAACAAGACAAGGTTATAGGGGCATGAATCAGATTGGTGGGTAATGGTTCATTTAATGACAGGAAAGATTGGGAGAGGAACAGATTTAGAGATAAGGGGAAGAAAATTAAGGAATCTATCTTAAAGTTGAGAACACTTGAACATACACATTTTAGGGGTGAGGGTCATGGTTGGAGTTGTGTATTCTGGCAGTTAGAAGCACTCATTGATAATAGAGGGGATAGATAGAGCAGAAAATCTAGGAATGAGCCCTGGGCTACTCTAAAATGAAGAATAAGAGGGTCAAAAAGTTTAAACGTAAGGAAAAATAGTAACATGGGACAAGGACTTAGAAATGTAATAGTTCATTAGGGAGAAATGCTAAGTACTATGAGAAAGTATGACGGGAAAATCAGGCATCATGGAGTGGTCAGGAGATACTTCTCTAAGGATGTGACAGTAAAAATCAGCTAAAGAGCATTGAGGAGAGAAGGGTATTCTAGTTTGGTTGAAGCTAGAAAAGGGGAGCGGAAGTAAAGTTGAGGATCGAGAGTGCAAAACTAAGTGAAATTGTGAGGAAGAGCATAGAGAAACTGCTGCACCTGTCAGAATAGTGCTTCCAAAAGAAAGGAAACTGGGACATGCAGCCTCTCTCTTATACTTCCATATTGCACCTTTGCTCAATATATTCCCCTTTTTGGAGAAAGTCCTGAGGCAGTAAAGAGAAACTGCACGTGCTTGATGGGGGCACATTGGCAGTCAGTTTACAAAAAAAGCCCGTGTTCACATTGTCACAGCTCAAGTCCAAAGTGGGCCAGGCATCTGCTGCAAAATATTCTAGATAAGCTCCTGCAAAAAATACCATCAAGAAACTAAATGAAATGAATGCTATTTTATTTTATACTCAAACCAATGAAACTGAAGTAGACTTTGTTGTCTGCTTGTGGTGGCTAATCAAAAATGATGTCTTACTCTGTCAAAAAAAAAAAAAATGACCTAAATGAAAGATCTCCACGAGTGAGATCCCAGTGGAAAGAACAGGTCATCAAAGAAGGAGGTACCTTTCTCTGAAGGGAGGAGAGAACTTCCACTTTGACTATGACCTTGTCAAAATATGATCAGAGTCGGTGAACTTAAAAGGTTTCCAGGCCGGCGCCGCAGCTCACTAGGCTAATCCTCCGCCTTGCGGCGCCGGCACACCGGGTTCTAGTCCCGGTTGGGGCGCCGGATTCTGTCCTAGTTGCCCCTCTTCCAGGCCAGCTCTCTGCTGTGGCCAGGGAGTACAGTGGAGGATGGCCCAAGTACTTGGGCCCTGCACCCCATGGGAGACCAGGATAAGTACTGGGCTCCTGCCATCGGATCAGCACGGTGCGCCAGCCGCAGCGCGCTGGCCGCGGAGGCCATTGGAGGGTAAACCAACGGCAAAGGAAGACCTTTCTCTCTGTCTCTCTCTCTCTGACTGTCCACTCTGCCTGTCAAAAAAAAAGGGCTTCCATAGCCTTGGCAACTCATGACAAGAGCCTAGGGAGATTACAATATTTAATGAATATTTTAGCTATTGGAAAGACTTTCCTGAAGCATAAAAGTAATTTTTTTCCTCTAATAGGTTTGGTGCCTCTTCATGGACTTAAGTATAAACTGAGGTATATTGACCTACATAGTAATTGCATAGATAGCATCCACCACTTGCTTCAGTGTACAGTAGGATTGCACTTCTTGACTCATCTTATTTTGGAAAAGGATGGAGAAGGAAATCCTGTCTGTCATGCACCAGGTATGAATGATTTTTAATACTTTTTATAACAGCTAATAGTGGAAGACTCCTGAAGTTAATGTTTATGAACTTTTATTTTATTCTTCAGCTTTGCAATATTTTATGTATTTGAAAAAACGTAATTACAAATAAATTAGTTTATTAAGACAAACTGAATTGCTACTAAAAGAACAACACAGGATAAGCATACCAGTAATTATGTTTATATAGTCTTATAATTGATAAGAGAATCCCTCAAAATTATATCATTATGCTGTATTCTAATAGTGTAATACTGTGGAGTCATTAAAATACATATCGAATGTCATTATTTATTGTCAGTTATCTCCAAAATATAGTAAAAAAGGAAATACAGCTTGCAAAATATTACGTGTAATAGGCTACCATTTGTGTGAAAAGATAACACATAGCCTTTACACACACACACACACACACATACATTTATAGAGTATATGCATAAAACAGAAAATGCACAAAAAACTAATAATATTGACTAACTCCAAGAAAGGGAACTGAAAAGCCAGAGATCAAGAAGTGTTAGGAAAATCTTTCCTGTGCATCTTTTGAATTTTAAACCACATGAGTTTATTACATTATTAATAAGGTATTTTTGAAAAACTTAAACAGTATAGTTGATGATGCCATTTGATCTAAATCAGAATTAATGAAGTTGACAGCATAAAACCAGACTGCCATTTCCAGAACTCACTTATCTCATATACTTAACCAAACAGTGAAAGAGAAATGTGTATAATGTGAATGTACATTCTAAATATTTTCTTGGGATACAGTTGGCTGTAGAGGCTTCTTTCTAATACTTAGATGCAACTATGAAAAAGTTTTTTGCATCAGTGACACTTGTTTAGACCATTTCATTTCACAGAAGAAAATATATATTTAAGAAGTATTCTCTTAAGGTCACCCTGAAAAGCAAGACAATTTGAGAGTTTTCTGGGGAAACTTTTAGAAGAAAATCTTCTTTCTAACTCTTCGTATTTTTCTTCTCTGCTAACCCTTGGGTTAGATTTTTTTCTATCAGTCCTGTCTCAAGAATCTGTAGTTCCTATTATTGGAATTTTTGTTTTTCACTTTCTTTTATAACTTAGGTGCTTTTCTCAACTCATTCACTCTCCCTCCAGAATCAGAGGAGAACTTGTTTCTGAAATTCCTCCCTTAAAAGTGCTAATGTTACTTTGCTGGTTTTCTTTCTTTTACTTTTTAAGTCTTTGCTAAAAAAAGAAATACTTAGTTTTCAAATTACAGTTAAACAGAGGCAAGCATTGTCATACACCTGTTTAAACCACTGGTAGGGACACCTGCTTCCTGCTAATGCTCCTGGGAGGCAGCAGATAGTGACCCAAGTAGTAGGGTTCTTGCCACCCATTGTGGGAAGCCTGAATGGAGTTCCTGGCTCCCAGCTTCAGTCTGACCCAGCCCCAGCTATTGCAGACATTGGGGAGCAAAAATGAAAGTACACGCTCTTGCTATCTCTCTCTTTGTCTCTCTTCTCTCTGTCTTTTCCACTTTCAATCTGTCTACCTTTGAAAGAAATAAATAAGGCTTCAACAACAACAGAATACAGTTGGGGCCAATGTTGTGGCGTAGCAGGTAAAGATGGTATCCCATATGGGCACTAGTTCGTGCCCTGGCTGCTCCACTTCCAATCCAACCCCCGCTAATGGCCCAGGAAAAGCAGAAGATGGCCAAAGTGTTTGTGACCCTTCCATCCACGTGGGAGACCTAGAAATGACTCCTGGCTTTAGCCTGGCCCAGCCCTGGCAGTTGCAGCCATCTGGGGAGTTAACCAGTGAATGAAAGATCTCTTTGTCTCTCCCTCTCTGTAACTCTGACTTGAAATAAATAAGTCTTAAAAAAGGAAAAAATGTAGGGGCTAGCACTGTGGTGTAGTGGATAAAGTCACTGCCTACAGTGCCAGCATCCCATTTGGGTGCTGGTTTGAGGGCTGGCCATTCCACTTCGATCCAGCTCTGCTATGGCCGTGAAAGCAGTAGAAGATGGCCCAAGTGCTTGGGACCCTGTACCCTCATGGGAGACCTGAAAGAAGCTCCTGGCTCTTAGCTCCTGGCTCCTGACTTTGGATCAGTGCAGCTCTGGCTGTTGCAGCCATCTGAGGAGTGAACCAGCAGATGGAAGTCCTTTCTCTCTCTCTCTCTTCTGCTTCTCTCTAACTCTGCCTTTCAAATAAATAAATAACTCTTTTTTAAAAAAGACAGTTAAAGTGCTCATTTTAGCCTAAACACCAATTAATGTTTTTCAGATTTCTCATATTAAACTGTTCTTAGTGAAAGTAAACATTTATTATACTTAATAGATAAACTGTCTTAACGTTAGTAATGTGTAATTTAAAAAGGTGAAAAGGGATGCTTTGCTAATGCTTGCGGCCTTATTAGGTAGAATCTGACACTTTGGTCATTATCCATATCATCCTGTTTTGTGGTTTGTTATTTGTGTTCATACTGATTATATTAAATGTAAGCAAAAGACATGTTAGCTTCCTCCAAGAATAAATTGCTCCCAATTTCATGCATTCTTAGCTTTAAAGTAATTTTTAGGGATGATGATTTTATCTTTGTAAACTTCATCAGGAGGATTCTTTGAGAGGAGTGGCAGGAGTGGTTTCTGTATTTAATGATTACATGCTAGAGAGGTTGAATAGCATTTAATACAAGTTTATTTCTTTATCATTCAAGTGATAAATTGGTTAGCTGATAGATTTAGTTTATCCTAAAAATAATTAATCTTTTTTAGAAATATTTAAATTTTCATTTTGTATGATTTATTTCCAAGGGTATAGAGCAATTATTCTCCAGACTTTGCCACAGCTTAGAGTCCTAGACTGTAAGAATATCTTTGGTGAACCAGTAAATTTGACAGAAATGAATTCATCACGCCTACAGAGCTTCGAAGGTCTTTTGGATAATTTAGTTTCCTCTGACTCTCCCTTAAATATAAGTGAAGATGAGGTATAGTATTGGGGTTTTTTTCTCCTAACAAAAGATACCTTCAAATGTTAATTATTAAATGAATGTAAATGTAAAGGGATCTCGGTTTTTTTCTGTGTCAGGTTGTTGATGGCATGCCAGTGATAACACCACCCATGGATGAGTTACCTCCCTTGGAGCAGTTTACAAGTACACCAGCAGATACTGTTTTGACGTCTTTTCTGTCTGTGTGTCCATCTTCAGAGCCGGAGAAAACTAACACTGAAAATGATTTTCAGAATGACATGAAACTTCAGAAATTAGATGATCAAATTTTACAGCTTCTTAATGATGTAACTATTTTTCCTACTTTTCTAAAAGTAAATATTAAAGAAAATAGTCTAAAAATCAAAATTATGTAAAAGCTGACCAACCAGAAACATTATTATGTTCTGTGTATTGTTGTATGTGTGTGTGTTTTTTGCCTTTACAGAAATGGGATTATCTGTAATAATAGTGGTAGAAAAAGTAACACACATTTTTCACTGGTTTTCCTTGTTGTCATTTTCCACATCTTCATTATCTAATTCATCTGTCTTGTTGGGAAGTACAGTACATTGTTTCCCTTCATTCACCTTTAAAACAGAGAACTCTTAACTCAGTATCTATTTAACACAAAGGGTAAATGAGTTACCTTTGGCCTCTACTGTCTCTAGTTGTTCACTGATCAAAGCCACTTCTAGAACTTACCCCTGAATGACAAGTTAATCTAGCATTCATCACATAATTATCTCTACTTTGCTGAGCTGTTAGTCCTTTTTTACATCTGTTTCTGATTCTCTGATTTTTAGAATATTTGAGCAGACTGACAATTCCTAGAATTTACTGATATCTCCAGAGCATTCTTGCTCTGATTCACAAGTAATGATGGTTTTCTTGGACACCATACCTCCTGAATACGATGGATTCTTAGTTTGCTATCTACTTGGGTATAGGATATAAAGATGGTGGTATTGACCAGAGAGGCTATTCATCAAATGTTAGTTTGACTCAGAAATTTGTAATCTTATTTTTATTTCCCTATTTTCATTTTATTTGAAAGGCAGAGAGACAAAGGGAAATTTTTTTATCCACTGGTTCACTCCTCAAATGCCCACAACAGCCAAGGCTTGGACAGGCCAAAACACAGGTTAGAACTCACATTGGGTTTCCCATGGGGTAGCAAGTTTCCAAGTACTTGAGCCATCATCTGCTGCCTCTCACATGCACAATTACAGGAAAGCTGAATGAGAAGAAGAGGAGCTAATACTGAACCAGGCAGGCATCCTGAGCAACATCTTAACTGCTCACCAAATGCTTGCCTCTGGATATTTCAAGTTTAATTTATATGTTATATTTTAAATCATACTTTTCTGAATTTTGGTATTTTTTTCTTTTGGATTTTTTTTTTGTTTTGGTTGCCATATAAATGGACTTTTTACAGTCTACTTGGAGTTAATAGTTATCATTTCATATGAAATGTGAAAATCCTGTATCTGTTTATTTTGTTAAAATTGTCAATCTATAGGACATTTTGATGCACTATAAACCCCACAAAACTTAAGAAATTTAGAGGATAGGGCCAGCGTTGTCACATAGTGAGCTAGACCACTACCTACAGTGTGGACATCCTGAATGGGTACCGGTTCATGTTCCAGCTGCTCCACTTCCAATCCAGCTCCATGTTAGTGCATCAGAGAAGGCAGCAGAGGATGGCCCAAGTCCTTGGGCCCCTGTCACCCACAGGGAACCTGACACAGAAGCTCCTGGCTCCTGGCTTCAGCCTGGCTCAGCCCTGGCCATTGGGACCATTTGGGGAGTGAGCCAGCAGATGGAAGATTTCTCTGTATATCTTTCTCTCCCTGTGGCACTTTTGCATTTCAAGTAAAATAAACTAGGCCGGCGCCGCGGCTCACTAGGCTAATCCTCCACCTTGCGGCGCCAGCACACCGGGTTCTAGTCCCGGTTGGGGCACCGGATTCTGTCCCGGTTGCCCCTCTTCCAGGCCAGCTCTCTGCTGTGGCCAGGGAAGGCAGTGGAGAATGGCCCAAGTGCTTGGGCCCTGCACCCCATGGGAGACCAGGGTAAGCACCTGGCTCCTGGCTTCGGATCAGCGTGGTGCACCGGCCGCAGTGCACCGGCCACGGGGGCCATTGGAGGGTGAACCAATGGCAAAAGGAAGACCTTTCTCTCTGCCTGTCTCTCTCACTGTCCACTCTGCCTGTCAAAAAAAAAAAAAAAAAAAAAAAAAAGTAAAATAAACTAAATCTTTTTAAAAAGAAAGAGGAAAAATACATAAATGTCATTAGTATTTATCCCAACACATCATATGTGATGCTGTTTATTTCTTCCTGAGAATTCAAGTTTCCATCATTTGGTTTTGGTTTCATTTTTTAATTCATGAGAGAGATAGACTGGGCCGGCGCCGCGGCTCACTAGGCTAATCCTCCACCTAGCGGCGCCGGCACACCGGGTTCTAGTCCCGGTCGGGGCGCCGGATTCTGTCCCGGTCGCCCCTCTTCCAGGCCAGCCCTCTGCTGTGGCCAGGGAGTGCAGTGGAGGATGGCCCAGGTGCTTGGGCCCTGCACCCCATGGGAGACCAGGAAAAGCACCTGGCTCCTGGCTCCTGCCATCGGATCAGCGCGGTGCGCCGGCCGCAGCGCGCCAGCCGCGGCGGCCATTGGAGGGTGAACCAACGGCAAAAGGAAGACCTTTCTCTCTGTCTCTCTCTCTCACTGTCCACTCCCTGTCAAAAAAAAAATAAATAAAAAATAAATAAATAAATAGATAGACTGAACTTTCTTCAGCAAATCTTGTAGTGTATATGTGTGAACAGCAAAGTCTCTTTATTTGATCTTTGTTGTTGAAGGACATTTTCATTGGATATAGAATTCTAGATTGATAGGCAATATTTTCAGTACTGGCTTCTAGGCTTCATGATTTTAAGTCCAAAGTCAGCATTAATTCAAATCCTTGATTTCTTTTATGTAATATGTTCTTTTTGGTACTTTCAGGAATATATCTTTGTCTTTGGTTTTCTGTAATTTGGATGCATCGTCCCTAAGGATGGTTTTTTCATATTTATTCTATTGGAGGTTTGAGCTTTTTCTTTTTTAAAGATTTATTTCTTTATTTTAAAGGCAGAGTTACAGAGAGGCAGAAGCAGAGAGATCTTCCATCCACTGGTTCATTCTCCAAATGGCTGCAATGGCCAAAGCTGGGCCAATCTGAATCCAGGAACCAGGAGCTTCTTCCAGGTCTCCCATGTGGGTGGCAGGGACCCAAGCATTTGAGCATCTTCCACTGCTTCCCCAGGCCAGAAGCAGAGAGCTGGATCAGAAGAGGAGCAGCCGGGACACGAACCAGTGTCCATATGGGATGCCAGAGCCACAGGCATACATAGGCTTAGCCTACTACATCACAGTGATGGCACCGGAATTTCTATTTCTTTATAGTGTGTGTTTCTGAGCTAAGTTTTCTGATTTCCTTTATGATAGTCATATTTTTTATCTCATTGAAGAGTTATGATCACTATTTCTTTTCTACTTAAGAATTGGGCCATCTCCATGATTACCTCTTGAGAACAGGTCATTTTCCTTCTTCTATAGTAATTTTGGAATGTTTCTCATACATGGTGAATGTTAGGTTGTGGGAACTCTATTCTGTTGTATTCTCCAAAGACTGTTGATATTTTTATTATAGTGAACATTTAATTTGGTTGGACTTAAACTGTTGATTTGTGGCCTTGGACAGCTGTTCACATTTCATTTTCTTTCTTCTATCCTTCACTGGGCTACTTGTTGCCTACACCATGCTACCCTGTGGTTCTTCAGCCTCAAAAGTCTGTGGTTTTTCTTACTTGAAGTTTAGACTCCCTGCATGGTATGATATATTTTCTAGCTGAAAGCCATAAAAACAGAAACTCAGTTCTGGTTCATTTTTCCAAGTGTCAATTCCCATCTAGAGTAATCTTTTCTTTTGCTCACTTTCCAAAACCTTCAGGTGGTTTTTATCCATTTTTATTTTGTGTTTTCTGAGATTTTATAATTGTTAGCTGCAGGACAGTTAGCCTGCTAGAAGCTTGTTCATCCATACCAGAAGCTGAATTCCCTGATTTGAATTTCACACATACCTAGTTCATTAACCCTTAATTTTATAAATAGTCAATGAATTGAACTTTTAACAAATTACATTAATTTTTTTTATTCTAGACTTCTAATTCTATAACAGTTAATGCTCCTGAGCAAGACCTCAGACCAAAAAGAGATACAGATATAACTTCTGAAAGTGACTGTGGAAACAGAAAAGAATGCAATAGAAGGGTTCCTCGGCGATCAAAAATCCCATATTGTGCCAAAACAATTCAAACTATTAAGCACCACAATAAAAACAGCAACCATTTTGTAAGGTACGTGTTTTGGTTTTAGACATTCAAAGCATACTAAATAGGTTGATTGGTTTTTTCCTTAAGCTGTCCCGTAGTGATATTTATGACTACTAACATCAGTGATTTGACTTTTCAAGATGTTGGCTCAGATTTTTTGATACAGTCAGCCCTCAGTTTCAGAAGGCTCCACAACTGCAGATTCAACCAACTACATATCAAAAATACTTTGTAAAAAAGCTGTGTTGTTGCTGAGATGCACAATGTGGTTAGGCCTGGTTCTGAACATACACAGACTTATTTTCTTATCATTGTTGTCTAAGCAATACAGTACAACTATTTGCATAGCATTTACATTGTATTAGGTATGATAAATAATCTAGAGATGATATAAAGGATATAGGGATATGCATAGGTTATTGCAAGTACTACACCATTTTATGTTAAAGACTCAAGAATCTTAATTTTGGTACCCAAGGCAAATCCTGCAACTAATTTCCCACAAATACTGAGAGTTGACTACACAATCATATAAAGTAAAGGATCCCTTTCTCTGTGTCATTACCAAAGTTGCAGATTAACATAACAACGAAAATTCCCCCGAATTCATTTACAGTGGGAAATAAGACAGATATGCTTGAGTCTCCATGATTAGCCTTTTCTCTTTGTAGGCAGATCTAGATGGGAAACCAAGGCCTAATCAGATGGTACTTACTGACCTTAGGATCAAAGGTGAATGTGATGATTGTGTTTAATGCCATCAGGATTAAATAAAGGTACATCTAATGTCTACACTTTCAGAATTGAGATCACCATAACAGTGGTTCAGAAATGACTGTCTTTTGGGATGTGTACAGCCAACTTTTTGCCAGTGTAATTTCCTTTTTTAAAAACATGTTGTTGGGGCCGGTGCCGTGGTGCACTAGACTAATCCTCCGCCTGCGGTGCCGGCATCCCATATGGACGCCAGGTTCTAGTCCCGGTTGCTCTTCTTTCAGTCCAGCTCTCTGCTGTGGCCCGGGAAGGCAGTGGATGAGGGCCCAAGTGCTTGGGCCCCTGCACCTGCGTGGGAGACCAGGAGGAAGCACCTGGCTCCTGGCTTCGGATCCGCATAGCTCCGGCCATTGCGGCTATTTGGGGAGTGAACCAACAGAAGGAAGACCTTTCTCTCTGTCTCTCTCGCTCTCACTGTCTGTAACTCTACCTGTCAAATAAATAAATAAAAATCTTAAAAAGAAAAAAATGTTGGTACTCCTTCAGTTCATTTGTAGTCAGGACATACCCTGGAATCTCTTTGGACTCTGGCTAGTGATAAAATGTTTATTCTGATCTGTTATATGTCGATTTAAAATGTTTAACCCCTAAAAGATAATTATATTTACTCTTTTTCCAAGTTCTTAGGTGTCATTGTCCCAAGTACTGATAGTACTTTTTAAATCATTCTGATATATCCAAGAGTTCTGCTCCACCTAAATATGTAGAACACTGAACATTCGTGGAATCATTATCTTTCCAAAAATCTTGAGGCTCCCATTAATCAACAAAAGTCACTCCTTATAAAATTCATACGGAAGTTTTTCCAAGTTATTGCTGTTTTGTTTTATTATTTTTTAATGCTGTTTGTATTTGTGACTATAAATGTTAAAGGTATAAATGCTTTGCATTTCTCATGTTATTTCCTTTGTTTTATTCTTTTGCAGTTGTAATCGTAAAATGAAACAACCTTACCTTAAAGAATTATACGTAAGATCGTCTTTAGCAAATTGTAATGTATCGCGAGACTCAGAAGACCAGAAGACTGAAATTATTAAAGTAGACAATAGTGGTTCTGAAGACAACACTTACCGGGTATGATGATTTAGGAAGATTTAGAAACAAATGAATTTTGAATATTTTAGTTTTTAATACAAAGTCCCAGAAAAATTAGCCATAAGCTTTTTAAAAAAAGATTTATTTCTTTGAAAGACAGAGTTACAGAGAGAAAGGGAGAGACAGAGAGATCTTCCATCTGCTGATTCACCCCCCAAATGGCTGCATTGGCCAGGGCTGGGCAAGGCCAAAGCCAGGAGCTTCATCTGGGTCTCCCTCAGTGTTGCAGGGGATAAGCACTTTGGCCATATTCCGCTGCCTTTTCCTGATTACTAGGGAGCTGGATCGGAAGTAGAGCATCTGGGACATGAATCAGAGCATATATGAGATGCCAGCATCACAAGCATTGGCTTTACCCAGTGTAACAGAATGCCGGCTCCTTGAATTTTTTTTTTTTTTTTTTTGTCTAATTTATTTATTTGAAAGATAGTGAAACAGAGACCTTCCATTCACAGGTTCACTCTCCAAATGCCTACAGTAATAGAGGCTTGGGCAGGCCAAAGCCAGGAGCCCAGAATTCAGTCTGTGTCTCCCATGAGGGTGGCAGAAACCCAGGTACTTGAGCAATCACTGCTACCTCCCAAGGTGCACAATAACAGGAAGCTGGAAAGGAACTGGAGCTAGGACTCTTAATTCTAGCTCTCCGATATGGAATGCAGGTGTTCCACGTGGTGTCCTATCTGCTGTGCCAAACACCACCCCATCATTTTTGTAATTTTTAAAGGAATAGAAATGTTACATTTAAAATCTGCTTTAAGTGAAATTATTTATTTTATGTTTGTAGAGGGAGAAACAGTTCTAAATTTTTTAATTCTAGTTTCTTAATGGTTGTTAACTTTTTTTATGTGTGTCATACTGTTAAAAATCTAAAGAAATCTACAGGTCTTCTAAAAGCAGTCTACTTTTACATATACCCAAAAAAACTATACATTTTAAAGTTTTCATTGGGACTTTCCTGAAACCCCGGTTTTGAGCCTGGATGAATGGATCCTGATTAAAAGGTTATTTTTTTTTTTTTAAGATTTATTTATTTATTTGAAAGTCAGAGTTACACAGAGAGAGGAGAGGCAAAGAGAGACAGAGGTCTTCTATCCGATGGTTCACTCTCCAGTTGACCACAGCGGACGGAGCTGTGCCGATCCAAATCCAGGAGCCAGGAGCTCATCCAAATCCAGGAGCCAGGAGCTCCTTCAGGTCTCCCACATGGGTGCAGGGGCCCAAGGACTTGGGCCATCTTCTACTGCTTTCCTAGGCCATAGCAGAGAGCTGGATCAGAAGAGGAGCATCCAGGACTCGAACTGGTGCCCTTATGGGATGCCAGCGCTTCAAGCCAGGGCTTTAACCTAACCTACTGCACAGTTTTAAAAAAAAATTGAAAATCCTTCAAGGGGCATGTGTTTGGTGCAGTGGTTAACATGCTGTTTGGGACTTCTGCATCCCATGTCACAGTGCCTAGATTCAAGTACCAGATCTGCTCCTCATTTTTCCTGTTGACCTGCATCCTTGTAAGTAACAGGTGATGGCTCAAGTACTTGGGAGACCTGGATTGAGTGGCTCCCAGGCTTTTGGGAAGTAAGCCAGTGGATGGCAGGTCTTTCTCCCTTTTTCTGTTTCTCAAATAAAGTAGATAACTAAGATTTATTTATTTCTCTTTTAGTATTTGCCTTAACAGAATTTTTAATATATGTTGGTTGTATTTTTCATTGACTTATGCTTATTTTACTTGTTGAAATACTGCTCATTTTGATTGTACTGTGTACAATAGCCTTTTAAAATATTTCACTAATTTTCCCTCATTATTCTCAACTATGGAAGCTTTAATATTGAGAAAAATAATAAGTATTGTGACAATAGCAATAACAGTTAATAAAATTGGCTAAGTGGCTACTTTGTGCCAATACATGCTTTACTTCCATTAATTTTTTGAATTCTCAGCACAGCTCTTTGTAGTAGGTACTGTTATTAACCATATTTAATGAGAAAATTCAGGCAATGAATAGGTAGGTAATGTTTCCAAATTCACATAACATTGTTTTATTTCAGTGTCTTGTTGAACAGCTAGACCAAGAGAGAGAGATGAGATGGAAAGCTGAACAAGCTGAAAAGAATCTCATGGATTATATTGATAAACTGCATAAACAAGCAAGTGAAAAAAAAGATGTTCATAGTCTTGCTCTGCTAACCACAGATAGGTAAGAACAAAGTATGTAAACCTAAAGATAGCTCATAGCATAAAGAACTTGGAACCTTAATGCTTGAGCTTTAGTGTGATAAAAAAACAGTCTATATGATTTTAGTTTGATTTAGACCAATTTTGTTATTAGAGTTAGTGCTTTATTATTAAATAAATGAGAAATTCATTGTACATTTTTGTGTGCCCTCAAGATGAGACGTGTCAGGTAGATAAATAAGATGTAATGAATTACAGAGGACTAAAACAGGGGTTAGAAGCTGGCATGGTGGTGCAGCAGGTGAAGCTGCCACTTGCAATAGTAGTATCCCGTCTCAGAATGCCAGTTTGAGTCTCAGCTGCTTTGCTTCCTAGGCCGCTCCATATTTATGTACCTGGGAAGGCCACAGAAGATGGCTGAAGTACGTAGGCCCCTGCCATCCATGTGGGAGTCCAGGGTGGAGCTCCTGGGTTTGGCCTGGCCCAGCTCTGGCCATTGCCACCTTTTGGGGAATGAACCGGTGCATGGAAGATCTTTCTCTGTCTCTCCCTCTCTTCTGTCAATGCAGCTTTCAAATTAATTAATCTTTTTTAAAAGATAATAAAGCAGAGCTTAGCAGATAATTTCTTTAAGGTGCCAGATTTTACAAAGGGCAAGAACTGACAGACTTTAAGGTTAGTGTGTCCTGTTAGATTTCTTGTCACACACTCACCTTCTGCAGTTGGTTTTAGTGCCAGATAACATGGGTTTCTGATTTTTTTTGTGTCTTCTCCCTTCTATCTCTCACTTGACTGTTATTTTTTTTCCTGTATTCTTTAATACACAACTGTCATACTCTATTCTGTGTTTATCTAGTTTTCTAAATTACACTAACTTTTTTTTTGCTTCTTTTTACTATAATTTCTTCTAAAATTACATGTTTCTTCTAATGGTTGTAAGATTTCCCCACAGAGTACCTTCTAAGTTTTCTCTTTTCTTATCACTCAATGAATACTCAACTTCTGGACGTGGTATTTTCCTTCTGAGTTGGGGAGTTGCTCTTAGTTCTCTCTCCTGTTTTGTAGTACAAGTGAATTATTCTCCATGTAAGTTCTCATTTGAGTAGTAAATTGATGTACACAGCTCTCAGCCCAGTTCCCAGTATCTTTTAAGCATTTAACTAACTGGTAGAGTTTTGTGTTACAGATGTCATATTTTGTAACTAGTTAAACTGTGATGCATTATGCTCTGAGCATTCTTCCACAGCCACTCACCAACTTCCTACTTTGTGTTTTAGAAATTGCTGTCTCTGAATTCATGCAACAGCATACTGCGCAGGTTTACTGTAGATGCATAGGTAACCAGCATTGTGTAATGACAGATGGGTGGAGACCCTGTGAATCAAGGACAATGAAAGAGAGAGGATGTGTCTTTTTTTTCTCCAGAACCAAACATGAGGCAAATATGAGTGTTTTTTCTAAGAGTTTTATCTCATTTTACTTCCATTTGCCTTATAATTGAAATTCCTCTCAAGTTTTGGGATTAGCTATATGTGTGTGATATTTTGCTATATTTTATATATAGGTATTACTTAATAGAAGCTGTTTGGGGGCTACTAGCCACATTCCATTTAATTTGGAAAGCTCTGGGCACTCATCTTTATCTTTCCTTAACCTGTCTACTATTATGCTCATGTTTCCTGTTAAATGTTCATAATTCTTTTGAAAAATCAACCTATCTTTTCTGACTACTTTTTAGCTAAACTCCAAGATTTCTTGAGATTAGATCCTCGCCATTTTGATATTTTTCTTTAATGTGCCTTAGTAGGGACTGCATATCCCTGGCAGCTAATACAGGGTCTAGTGTCTTGAATCCATGCCTTGAGTGTGTTATCTCAAAAAGCAAATTTTATCTCATATAATATCTATTATACCACCTTGTTAACCAGATTTGTTCATCTAATTATCAAAAAATGCTTGGCTTATATTTCTTGTGTCTTAAAATCAGCATATTCTTAGATAAAGTCATCTTGCTTCCTTATTATGTATTAATTGAGCTAGTAAATGGTGTGCCATTAGCATCCAGTCAGCCTCCAAAACTAGAAATTTAAGAATTTTCTTAACTTACTTATTTGAGAAATAGAGAATTCACATCTACTGGTTGACTCCCCAAATGTCTACAACAGCAGAGGCCCAAGCCAGTAGCCAAAACAACTCAATTCAGGTCTCCCAATATGGGTAACAGGAACTCAGTTATTCAAACCATCACTGTTGCCTTCTAGGGTCCACGTTACCAGAAAGCTGGAGTCTGGAGTCAGGAGCCAGAGCCAGGTGGCAAACTTGGGAACTCCATGTGGGTCACAGGCATCCCAACTGCCAGGCCAAATGCAAATGCTCACCTTCTAAGAATGTTGAGTTATTTAGTAGTTGTTTTGGTTTTTGCTTCCTTTCACTTTCCCAGTTGGTGTAGATCTTCTTCATTCTATTTTTTCAAGATGTTGAACAATCACCTCTGTATCCAAAAACTGTTACTTTAGTTTAGTGCCTGTCTCTTGCTTAGAAGATTTCTCTAGTTCTACTTTTCTGTAGCTTCTCTGCCTTGATTCCATATACAGTTAATAAAGTCCAGTCTTGTATCTTATACCAAACTGGATTTGAGATAGACAAAGATCCATTTGAGACCACTCGCATTAAATGCAAAAGGATATATGATAAAGACCAACAATGACCTTGGTTTAGAAGTTGATGGATATATTTTTGTAAATAAGGCTTGGAAATTATAACAGATATACTTCGGGCTGGCTAGTTCAGAAGTAACCCCTTCATGAGGGTAAGTCTTTCCCAAGCGCTAGATTTGTATTCTGTGATCACCTCCATGCCTATAGTGTTTGGTTAAGATATAAGTACATAATCCAAGCTAAATAAACACAATGCTTTTGCACGTGGCCACCATGATTGGCTCCTCAAGTGGATATATTAACTAAATTGGACTAATGAGAGTCTCCCTGTGACTGACTCTTCTAAGCTGAGATAAAGGTAATATTTCTTCTTTGATTCTCAGAGCTGTTAGAATCAGCCCAGAGACGTTTGGGGCTAACTCTTATCTTCTGCTGCTTCTGCTCCAAACATGAAAATAACTTACAGTAGGAAAAACTGAAGCTAGCCCCCAGGAATTAGAGGCCTAATGATCTTCCTGGTTTCATGCGGTCTCTCAGAACACTGCCACCCCAGCCTTCTCTAAGCTTGGTTATGTGAGTCAGTTATTTAAACTAATTAAGGGTATTTTTCATTTGTAATGAAAGGATTTTAACTAATACAATGCTGGGATCGATACTTAATATATGGCGAAGATACAAGAATGTCAAAGTTGACTTGCAGTAGCACTTCCTACAGCATTTCTGTCACATGGCTTTATAAATGTATCCATGTCTGTTCCCTCTGCTAGATACTGAATGCTTAAAGACAGAGACTAACTTACTCATCTTGTTTGCTGGAACAAATTTGCTTTGTCAATTTATGTAAAATTTTTTCTTGTGGGCACTCTGTTATCTTCAGGGATGGGTGAAAGACATACTATTTTTCAGCCTCTGTTTCTTTTTTTTTATCCATAGTTAGAGTTTGAAACATACTTCAAGTCATTCTCTTGACTTTTTATCTTTATATATATATATATATATATAATATATACTAAACTGCCCATGTGATTTCTGCTTTAGATTAAAGGATATTATTTTTAAAGAGAGACATTCCAAGAAACAACTTGAAATTATGGTTCACAGACTTCAAAATGAAATTAAAAAGCTAAGTATTGAATTAATTAAAGCAAGAGATCAACAAGAGGATCACATTAGACACTTAAGGACCCTGGAAAAAGCCTTAGAAAAAATGGAAAGGCAAAAAGGGCAGCAGCAGGCGGCACAGGTATTTCTGTATTTTAATGTGTCAGTGACATAGTAACACCTGTACTCAAACAGGTAATCTATAGTAAACTCAAAGATGTAGGCTGGGCCGGCGCCGCGGCTCACTAGGCTAATCCTCCGCCTAGCGGCGCCGGCACACCGGGTTCTAGTCCCGGTCGGGGCGCCGGATTCTGTCCCGGTTGCCCCTCTTCCAGGCCAGCCCTCTGCTGTGGCCAGGGAGTGCAGTGGAGGATGGCCCAGGTGCTTGGGCCCTGCACCCCATGGGAGACCAGGAAAAGCACCTGGCTCCTGGCTCCTGCCATCGGATCAGCCGCGGGTGCGCCGGCCGCAGCGCGCTGGCCGCGGCGGCCATTGGAGGGTGAACCAACGGCAAAGGAAGACCTTTCTCTCTGTCTCTCTCTCTCACTGTCCACTCTGCCTGTCAAAAAAAAAAAAAAAAAAAAGATGTAGGCTGTATGCAGAAATTAAATTATTGTTAATTTAAATATACCTGTCCTATATCCTGTTGAATTATATCTAAATTAAGACTGCTTGGCCAGCGCTACAGCTCAATAGGCTAATCCTCCGCCTTGCGGTGCCAGCACCCCGGGTTCTAGTCCCAGTCGGGGTGCCAGATTCTGTCCCAGTTGCCCCTCTTCCAGTCCAGCTCTCTACTGTGGCCCAGGAGTGCAGTGGAGGATGGCCCAAGTGCTTGGGCCCTGCACCCCATGGGAGACCAGGAGGAGGCACCTGGCTCCAGGCTTCGGATCAGCGTGGTGCGCCGGCCGCAGCGTGATGGCCACAGCGGCCATTAGGGGGTGAACCAACGGAAAAGGAGGACCTTTCTCTCTGTCTCTCTCTCTCACTGTCCACTCCGCCTGTCAAAAAAAAAAAAAAAAATGCTAGCACATCCACAAAGCAATTATGAGAACAGAGGAGTAGTGGAAATATTGAAAGTACTTGGGCTTCTATTCTGAGAGAGTTGTTTTTTTAAAGTCTTTGGGGCACTTGAAATAATTTGATTTTCATACTTTGTGAATGGAACTTACCGTGAATGATCCGTGACACAGTAAGTAGTTAATGCCAAGTGTATCTGATGCTTCCCCAGCTGTTCTTTGTGTGACTAGGACATCTTTAATAAATTTTGAAAATCAAATCAATTTAGTCATTAGATGTATCATTTTAAAAGACATGTTTCTTATGGGAACTGAAATTAAAATAGAAGCAGGGCAGATTATTATGTAAATACTATAATTGTGTGTATTTTACTCAGATGAGACTTCTTCAAGAGGTGGAGCTCAAAGCTGCAGCTGCTGATAGAGAAATAAACTTACTCAGAACTTCCCTTCATCAAGAGAAGGAACAAGTACAACAACTTCATGAACTTCTTGCATTGAAACACCAGGAACACAGGTAAATGAAAAGGTATCAGGAAAATACTGATATTAAAAAAAAGAAAGTTACTGATAACCCCTGCCACACACGCAGTATTTAACACCTGTGACTGAGCATTGATGCAATCCGATGGAATTTGTTCATGGAAAATACCACATTCATTTGTGAATTAAAATCAGCAGTATAGCAAGAACTTAAACAAATGGGTAACTTTATTGTCAACATTTGAGTTCTGGACTTGTAACACCAAAGCTTATTTTGTATTTTGCTGAACCCAACCAAAAGTTAGTCATTATATATGACGAAAGCTGTTTAAATTGATCTCTATGTAATTATTTATTAAATTAATATTCTTTGTGTCTCTGAAGTAGAATTCAATAAACTTTTTCTATGAAAGGCCACATAGCAAATATTTCACGCGTTGCAAGCCATACCATACCTAAGTTTGCCTATGTAAGCCCAAAAGCAGCCCTAGACAATATGTGAACAAATGGGCATGACTGTCTTCCAGTAAAAGGACATTTGCATAGAAGAATGCATCTCAGGCCAGATTTGGCCCATAGGCTGTAGTTTACCAACTCCAATTTACAGAGTCCAGAGTAATTTGATCATTTTCAGCTCATTTCCTCTTTACGACTTACCAGTTAAATTGTATGATTGTCATAAGTTCATTATATTTATTCCCCAATCTGTTTGGTTTTGTATTTACTTGAGCTTTAATGTGTAAAGTAAATTTTGATGCTCTGGGGAAAACTCATCATACGTGTGGAAAACATAACTGGAAGATTGGGAGAAAATAATCACACAAAAAAATGAATTTTTCACTGGGATTCCTTTACAGATATTTTTTAAGTTTACATTCCAGTTTAAAGATACCAACACTGGAAATAACAGATTTTTGCATTATGGATTTTGTTTATGCCACATTAATGGTAGAAAACTCTAGGTATAAGGAATATCCTCACATTTAAATAAGAAATCCATCTTTGGGCTGGTGCTGTGGCATAGCAGGTAAAGATGCCAGCTGCAGTGCTGGAATCCCATATAGGTGCTAGTTCGAGACCTGGCTGCTCCACTTCCAATCCAGCTCTCTGTTGTGGCCTGGGAAAGCAGTAGATGGCCAAACGCTTGGGCCCCTGCACCCAGGTGGGAGACCTGGAAGAATCTCCTGTCTCATAGCTTCGGATCTCCTAGCTTCCTAGCCCAACTCCTGCTGTTGCGGCCATTTGGGGAATGAACCAGCAGATGGGAGATCTCTCTGTGTGCCTCTGCTTCTTCCTCTCTGTAACTCTGCCTTTCAAATAAATAAATGTTTTTTAAAAATTTTTTAAAAATAATCAGTCTTATACTGAAATATAAATAATCTCATACTTTAACTGGCTTTCCTATTAAGCAACAAGTGCCAGTCAGACTGTATTTATTCCAAGTTACAGACCTAGCCAAAATAAGAGATACAGTAAAGTAGAACTTACCTTCTGCAAATGTACCTTAAAAATTTCAGATTCCATAGAAGGAATTCTCAGGTTAAAATTGAACATTCTTATTATCCCCATTATCATTAAATACAGGTGCCTACCTATGCCCAGTTTCTATGTTTAAAAATGAGTAGCTTATCTTAAGTTCACAATGGCACATATAGGATATTAATTATTTAAGGACCTTCAAAAATGTTCTTTTTAGTTGAACAGTATCCTTTGATTTTTATTTCTTTCTCATTCCAGGAAGGAACTTGAAACAAGGGAATTCATTAGTGATGCTGAATTCCAGGATGCCTTAGCTAAAGAAATAGCCAAGGAACAAAGAAAACATGAGCAAGATATAAAAGAATACCAAGAAAAAGTTGATTTATTAAACCAGCAGTATATGGAATTAGAAAATGAATTCCGTATTGCTTTAACTCTTGAAGCCAGGAGATTTAAGAATGTAAGAATTATCATTCTACCTTTTTTAAAAAAGAATCTGCAAGATATGATTTGATAATAGGGCTTTGTTTTTGTTTTAGAATTCTAGTTCTATTTACATGTCGACCAAATGATTTTAAACAAATTAATAAATTGTTAAAGCCTTAATTTCCTCAAATCATATTCTTCATTGCTTTTGCAAAACTAAGTAAGACCATAAATGATGGAGTAAAGAGATTACTGGAATAGGAATCAGAGAACCTGAATTCACTCTTACTACTAATCCCAAACCAAAGCCTACAGTCCAAATGCGGTCCATTGCCTGTTTCTTTGAACAAAGTTTTATTGGAAAAGAACCTGGCTCATTTGTTTACATATTATCTCTGGCTGCTTTTGTAATGGAAATACTTTGCCCTGGCCTGCAGACCCTAACAGTGTACTATCCTAGCTTTTTACAAAAAGAGTTTGACAACCCATGCTGTAGAATGATCCTGTTCCTGCATCCTGTCCCATCATATATATATACACACACACACTAGATCTTGTTTCCTCTTGCCGCCTTAGGGTTGGGCTTCAGCACATATTCCCTTTCACTCTCTTGCATCAGCAGTTTCCTGTCAACCGGATGATTCCCTTCATCATATCACATGCTGTGGTTCCTCTCATCTTAATTTTCCTAATTCTCGGCCGGTGCCATGGCTCACTAGGCTAATCCTCTACCTGTGGCGCCGGCACTACGGGTTCTAGTCCAGTCGGGGCACCAGTTCTGTCCCGGTTGCTCCTCTTCCAGTCCAGCTCTCTGCTGTGGCCTGGGAAGGCAGTGGAGGATGGTCCATGTGCTTGGGCCGTGCACCCGCATGGGAGACCAGGAGAAGCACCTGGCTCCTGGCTTCGATCAGTGCAGCGCCGGCCGTGGCAGCCATTTAGGGGGTGAACCAACGGAAGGAAGACCTTTCACTCTAAAAAAAAAAAAAAAGAAAATTCTCTTGATCCCATCTTCTCCTTTGGCTACTACCTCATTTCTGTGTTTCCATTTACACTAGAACTTCTCAAGAATGTGCTTTTGCTGTCTCTCATTTTTCTTCTCTCCCCTCTAACCTCTGCTCAGCTCAGGCTTTTATCTCTGCCACTATACTTAGCATTGCTATAGTCAAAACCACCAGCAACATGCATGCTTTGGAAGTTGGATGTCAATTTAATCCTCATCTGATTTGATATGGTTAATCTCTCCCTCTTTCTCCAGACTCTTTCTTTACTTGGTTTCCAGTGCACCCTTAGTTTTCTTGGCTTTCTCATGTTTCACTTCTTTTCAGTCTCCTTTGTTGCATTTTCCTATATTTTCCAAAATTTCATTATTGGAATGCCCAGATACCAAATTTGTAAACCATTTTTGTTTCTAGACACATTCTCTTGGTAAACTCCTCCAACATCATTTGTTTTATCTCCAGCTTCAATTTTGCCTGAATTCCAAACCTTTATGTGTGATTGCCCATTTAACATCTCTAACTACAGATTTTTCCCCAAAAACTTGCTTTAACAGTCTTATATTAGTTAATGACAACTCCATTCTTCTAGGTGCTGAGGCCATAAACATTAGGGGTATTACTGACTTCACTTTCTTTGGCACTTCATATTCAGTACCTCAACAGACTTTGTCATCGTTTTTATTTTTTTTTATTTATTTATTTATTTTTTATTTGAAAGAGTTACAGAGAGAGGTAGAAACAGAGAGAAAGAGAGGTCTTCCATCCGCTGGTTCACTCCCCAGATGGCCGCAATGGCTGGAGCTGTGCCGATCCAAAGCCAGGAGCCTAGAGCTTCTTCCAGGTCTCCCACGTGGGTGCAGGGGCCCAAGGACTTGGGCCATCTTCTACTGCTTTCCCAGGCCATAGCAGAGAGCTGGATTGGAAGAGGAGCAGCCGGGACTAGAACCGGCACCCATATGAGATGTTGCGCTTCAGGCCAGAGCATTAAGCGCTGTGCCACAGCACCAGCCCCCTGTCATCGTTCTTCTACAAAAGTATAGCTAATCATTTCTTTCTACCTCTATTCCCACTACTTTGGTATTGGTCATATTATCTTTCACATCTGTTATTGAAAGAACCTTTTAGTTGGTCTTCCTGCTTCCAAACTTGTCACTCGCTTCTGTTGATGCTGAACACAGCAGCTGGAATTTCCTTTTAAAATAAAGTAGAGGGGCCAGCGCTGTGGCTGGCCCCAATCTGCTGCACCAGCATCCCATATAAGTGCCATTTTGAGTCCCAGCTGCTCCATTTCCAATACAGCTTCCCACTATGGCCTGGGAAAGCAGTAGAAGATGGCTCAAGTCCTTGGGTCCCTGCACCCACGTGGGAGACCTGGAAAAAGCTCCTGGCTCCTGGCTTCAGATCAGCCCAGCTCCAGCTGTTGAAGCCATTTTGGGAGTAAACCAGCAGATGGAAGACCTTTCTCTCTGTCTCTCTCCTTCTGCCTCTGTATTTATTCAAATAAATAAATGAATAAATCTTTAAAAATGTATATAATAAATATATGTTTCCTCTCTACAGAGACGTCCATCACCCATCCGTTTCATTAAGGGTAATAGTCAAAACCCTCTACAACCTAGCCTTCTGACTGTATCTTCGACTTCTCTCTCCTTCATGCCACTCCTATGATAGCAGCCTCTTGCTCTTCCTGCAACAAGCCAGGCACATTCCAGCCTAGAAAACTCTTCTCACATATTTGATAATTATGCTGTTTAAATTGAACCCACATCTCTCAACACTGCACATCCCTGTCACCTTTTTTAACACAAGCGTATAATTATCATCTAATATATTGTGTATGTATTTGTTTATTGTTGTATCATCAGTCCTTACGTCCTGCAGTGTTACCTTTACAAAGGCAGAGATTTAGTCTGTGTTGTTCATTGGTGCATTCCACTGCCTGGAACAGTGTTTGGCACCTAACAGTCCCTCAGTAAATATTTGCTAAGTGAACGAATTCTGGTTTTAGATCTGACACTAATTCACTGGATTACTTGGGGGGGCAGGCAGGGAAAATACATAACTTCCCTGGGCCTGTTTCATTGCCTGGAAATCAGTAGATTGAAACCAATTATGTCTGAATTTTATTCTTTTGCGAATACTCTGTGATTCTAAAATGAGAGATAAGAACTATTTCTAGAAGCACATATTTTGTAGTTATTTGGAGGACTGTTGCTTATAATGCAATTCTGTAATACAGGTTAAAGATGGTTTTGAAAATGTTGCAACTGAGTTAGCAAAGAGCAAACATGCTCTTATTTGGGCTCAACGTAAAGAAAATGAGTCTTCCTCTTTAATTAAAGATCTGACCTGTATGGTGAAAGAACAGAAAACAAAACTTGCAGAAGTATCCAAATTGAAACAGGAAACAGCAGCAAATTTACAGGTAAGATTTCATTATATATTTCTTTTTTAATTTTTATATCATTTTCTCAAGTGTGTTATGATTTTAGTACATAAAGTGAACTTCTAAATATTACTAATTATATATTGTTATGTGTAAAAAAAAGTAATATAATGAAGGAAGCTAAACTATGTATTGCTTGTATTACAGTAATATATAAGTAAAGTGAATTAATTTTAAGAAACATGTTAATAGGTACCAGTAGTAGAGTGACACAGCAAAAATTAAAAAGGTGATAGTGGTTGAAGATTTTGAAAACAGCACTTGTATTCCCATTGTGATGCTGTGGTAATTTTTATATACTTAGTTATAGTCGTGTTTTAATTAATCTTTATTGCTATTGTCTCATTTTAAATATCATCACTATTTTGTTCAAAATAATTTACTCCTGGAAAATACTTTTAAACCATTAATATAAATGTTTGGTGAGAAATTCCGAGTAGTACAGGTATACTTTGCTCTTTCATGATTTTAGAATAAAATTCAGAATGTTTAAAGGAATGACAAAAAATTTGTGGATTTCATGCTCTGTATTTATCTTTATTCAATAAAACTCTAACAAAATTTACAACATGTATTTTGTATATTTTAATTAACATTTTCCTCATAAGATACAAAAGTAGAAAATAAGGAAATACGAAGTATAATAACAACTTTGTAACTTTTTTTTCAATTTTGGGGGATATACAGAATCAAATCAACACCGTTGAAATTCTGATTGAAGATGACAAGCAGAAGAGTATTCAAATAGAACTTCTGAAGCATGAAAAAGTCCAGCTTATTTCTGAGCTGGCAGCCAAAGAATCACTCATTTATGGTTTAAGGACAGAAAGAAAAGTATGGGGATATGAACTGGCCCAACAGGGTAAAATTCTCAAATTTTCAAAGGGAAAAATATCCAGTCTTATAAACCAACAAATCTTGGTATTTGAAAAGGAAGGGCTTAACTGTCTAGAGATGCCAACAAAAAAGATGATGTTTTATCTGGAAGGATAAGAAGGCAATTGGCAGCCAAATTGGAAAAAAAGTCCTATTAGGAAAATAAGAAATAGTTTGTTACCCATTTTAAAAAGTTACATAGCTATGATATTTTTTGTTATTTTCTTCCCAAAGTTAATTTGGATACTTTGGTAAAGCACATATACTTTTGTAGTGCTTTAGCTAGCTAAATCATTACAAATAACTTTTTATATGGTAACATTGTAAATTATTTGTGTAGTTATATAATTCCCATTTTTTCCTACGATGCTTATAACATTTATCCTATGGTATCTGCAGAAATGTAAAATAATGTGTAAATGAAAACCACTTTCTGTTAGGTAAGCCCTCAGTTGCATTCTGTTACCAGTCACAAGCAAGAAATACACACTGTTTTACAGTGTTTCCTGGATAGTTTAAAACTTATGAATAGCTAGATGCTGGTTTTAACAGAGTATTGTTCATTTATTCATTTCCTGTAGGAATTTTAATATGATTCTGTTTGAATGTCATAGCATGAATTAAACAGTATATTGTCCAGCTTTTTTTTTATTTTAGTCATGGTTTTAGATTTTCAGATAGTCACAAGTGTTTAGAAAATCTTTTTGTTCATTACCCTTTCACTTTGTACCATACTTATTCCATGCTTTATTTTTTATGGAGTTTACTTCCTATATTATACATCATTAGGTTAAATTTTCATAAATTACAAAACCTCTAGGGCATATTAAAAGTTTATAACTATTAATGTTTGTTTTCTTAGGGTCATCTGTAGCCCAAAATCGTGGAAAATTAGAGTCCCAAATTGAAAGTTTATGTAGAGAGAATGAATCTCTGCGAAAGGCAAATGAAAGTGATAGTGATGCATTAAGAATAAAGAGCAAAATTATAGAAGATCAAACGGAAAGCATTAGAAAATTAAAATCTGTAAGTTTGACATTTTATTTTTGTAAAAGAGCAAATAGTTGAAAATCTGTAGATGAAAGTATTTAAAAAAATATTGACTGAGTGATTACCAACTCTTGTAGAATTTAGGACAGTCATGTATTTCCTTTTATACTGTTTGTTCCTTTGCTCTTAAAATTACTACATGGTGTTTATTAGCTTGAAATGAATTTTACTTCAGAATTTTATGGAAAATTTTATTATGGCCTTTGGGTAACTAGAAATAGTATCAATAAAGAATAGTCAAGAAAGTTAACATTTTATCTGGATAAGTAAAACCATGCCTATTTAGCTAGAATACAGGGTTGGCATGGTGCAGCAGGTAAAGCCACCACTTGCAATGCAATCCATATTAGAATGCTGGTTTAATTCCTCTAGCCGCTCCGCTTCTAATCCAGCTCCCGCTAATACACCTAGGAAAGCAGCAGAAGATGGCCCAGGTGCTTGGGCCCCTGCCACCCGCGTGGGGAAATCTAGATGGAGTTCCATGCTCCTTGACTTCAGACTGGCCCAGCTCTGGCGATTATGGCTATTTGAGTAGTAACCAACAGATAGAAGATCTCTCTGCCTGTCCCTCTCTTTGTCACTCTACCTTTCAAGTAAATAAATAAATAAATCTTTTAAGATGATCAGAATATAAAATATTTAAGATTAATAAGAATAAAGCACTGATTTTTTTCTTTTAAGTGTTTACAAGAAAAAGATGAACAAATCAAAACATTAAAAGAAAAGATGACTGAAATAGAAAAATGTATGCAAGGTCAACTTGATGAAAAATCCTCACAACTAGATAATATAATTGAGCAGTTGGAAAGGCACAATGAAAGAAAAGAAAAACTTAAACAGCAGTTGAAAGCAAAGGAATTAGAACTTGAAGAAATTAGAAAAGCTTACAGGTATTACACAGTATTTCCACTGAGAAACATGGTTTAATAATTTAATGTATCCAGTTTACTTTTAACATTACTTCTTTTCCTATTAGTACACTTAATCAGAAATGGCATGATAAAGGAGAACTTCTGAGTCATCTTGAAACACAAGTAAAAGAAGTAAAAGAAAAATTTGAAAACAAGGAAAGGAAACTTAAAGCAGAAAGAGACAAAAGTATTGAACTGCAAAAGTAAGCATTATTTCATAAAGGATGTAGTAATGGGTGAAATGTGTATAGAAAGACAGAGGTGCTAAAAACTTGTTTATGTATTTGAAAACTAATTCAAATATGTAAGTGGCAAACTAATGGTTTCCACCTTAAATATTACAAATGAGGTTGACATGTATATGTACATTTATACATAGACATTGATATGTGAGTATTTTGGTTTTTTACTATGATTATTGCTTTAAACTCAGTTTAAATGAAAGTAGCTAGTGATATTTTGTATTTTAATTAGAGTTTAGAAGAGAATATTACTTGGCTGTCAGGGCAATGAGTCCCTGAAGAGGCCAGAGCAAAGTTGGACAGCAGTCGGCCTGCACAAATTGAGAATGAGAGTTGTTTTTTAAAGAGAGGAAAGGAGGTATACGTGGCTGCCATTATTGTCTGGATTGTATAAAATACTCAAGAGGAAATAAGATTTTAACTTGCTAAATATACTTGACTTGTTAAAATAAAATATAAAGTTGAGATACCTTAATGAATAGATAGTATAATTTGTCACTTCTCATGTAAAGATAACAGAGTGGCATATGTAACATGCAAGTGAATATCTTTCTCCCTCCTCCCCCCCCCCCAAAAAAAAACCAACACTCTAATTTTCCTTTTTAAGGGATGCAATAGAAAAGCTTCATAGTATGGATGATGCCTTTAAAAAGCAAGTTGATGCAATTGTTGAAGCTCATAAAGCTGAAATATTACAACTGGCAAATGAAAAGCAGAAATGCATTGATTCTGCAAATTTAAAGGTACTGTTAAGTATAACTTACTCTAATATCCAGTATTAAATGGTATAGCTAAACAGATTGGATCCTTGACAATTATAAAGAAAAGATAGCATGATTTAATGAACAAATAGATAAAAGAGAGATGTTGCCAAAACTATCATGAAACCAGGCTTGGAATACCTAGATTAGCTATAGAACATAATTATAATGAAACAAGAATTGGAAGTTTGATCCTGGTATGGACCTGCTTCATGATATGTGGATAAAAATTTTCATATCTCCAATCAACCCCAAGTGGAAGTCACTTTGGTTACTCATAAGCATGCTGTTAATTGAGTATTTGGAGGGGGAAATTCTGAGAAACACACAGAAGTAACCATTTAAATTAGAAAAAGTCATACTTTCTTAAGGGAAAAGAGATTAGAGAACCTATAGTAGAGATTAGGAAGAATGAAGTAAACCAGAAAAGGATAATCGTATTGTTAGTATCAGAAATGCTGTGGTATTGTGAGAGTGGGTATTTCAAACAGAAATTAACAGTATCAAATACAGATTCTAGGACAGTATAGGTTACAAATAAATGATAAAATGATCTCTCAAAAATATAACCACCAACAGAATTTTTAAAAATACAGTAGAAACTACATTAAATAAAATTTTCTTTGAGCAGGCAAAGTTAATTTGGAAAATCTATAAGGAACTGATATTTGGGTTGAAATCATGTGTCAGCATTTATAAACAGCTTAGGACAGCAGAAATTAAGTCAGAAGAATGGATTTTTGTCCTCGCTGTGATAACATAGAAACTATACAACGTTAAACACATTTTCTGAGTTCCAAGATAGATTTAAAATATATCATGTCTTTTTCACAAAAACATTATGAAAACTTGAGATAATATACATGAAAGTACTTTGTATACTCTAACACTGTGTTTCCCTATGAGCATTTAGACAGATTATATTTTACTAATAATCTCATTGCCTGGAGTGAACCATAAAATACCTAAAGATAAACTTTTGACTGTTTTTCTTTCGAACCTATGTTTATAAATAATTTTTCTGTAATAAATTAAAATGTGAAATTTACATGCTTGGTTTAGGTTCATCGAGTTGAGGAAGAAATGCGTGGACTTTTGGAAGAAACGTGCAAAAACAAAAAAGCAATGGAAGAAAAAATTAAACAACTTGCTTTTGCTCTAAATGAAATTCAGCAAGAAATGTGATCGTTCTGAGAAAGAATTTAATTGAAATGGACCAGCAGACCTATTGTAAAAATTATTAAATATTGTAATAGTAGTAACTGGTATGACTTTGAAATGTCTCTTTCTACACATTTCATTATGAATATATTTTTGAAGACTTTTGATCAAGTGTTCCTTAATTGTATATGTAGGTTTTGATAATAAACTTGATAATTATGTGTATTAGAAAAACCTATCATAGTAATTAGATTTACAACACTTCTTGTTTCTGCGTTATACATTGTTTGGTAATTACACATTTGCCTACAGATTTGTATATGAAACAATTAGTATTTGAACTATATGAGGGAACGTATTTTAATCATTGTTGTTACTTTATTGTGTTGGTAAAAAGCTAATTATATTTATTGGATGTCCATTAGTTGATGCAGCTCCATTCTTTTAAATACTTATAGCCAAAAACTATTTTATATCTGTATTATAAAAGATAGTGGCAACTTAGGAAAACTATGTAATCATCTCCACATCATTCATAATGACCCTTCTTTTTATAATGAAAGTAACTTTTCATTAAAGATTACATCTTAAGATTTTATAAATAGTCTGTTCCTAAAGAGGAATACTGCTGTTCACCTTCATTCTCCCTTTTAATCAGTGTATATCAAGGGAACTTTAATTTTGCAATTAGAAGCAATTATTCATTTCTCTTTTTAAAAAAAAAAAACAAAACATTTATTTATTTGAAAGTCAGAGTTACACAGAAAAGGAGAGGCAGAGAGAGAGAGGTCTTCCATCTGCTGGTTCACTCCCCAACTGGCCGCAAAGGCCGGAGCTGCCCCGATCCAAAGCCAGGCGCTTCTTCCCAGTCTCGCATGCTGGTGCAGGGACCCAAGGACTTGGGCCATCCTCCACTGCTTTCCCAGGCCATAGCAGAGAGCTGCATCAGAAGTGGAGCAGCCGGGACCTGAACCAGCACCTATGTGGGAAGCCAGCACTGCTGGCAGCAGCCTTACCTGCTATGCCACAGCGCTGGCCTAGCAATTATTCATTTCATACCAGGTCATTTATTACTATTTCATTTTTGTTACCTCTTTGCTATGTATACAGAACCAAAATCTTAAGTTCTGCAACCCCTTGCTATTTCTGAAAAGAAAAAAATATAAACCAAAATTTTAAATTAATAATAGTGAACTGTCTTAGAAAGGAAATGGACCCAGAAAAAAATGTATATGCTTTCTTTTCAAAGAAGCCCCTATTTATTTATAGATAAGTGGGTACTGAGGTCTGTGGGATATCACTAGTCACATGGACACACATGATGAGAATTGTGGAAGGGGGGATTAAAAAAATACTTGGAGAAGTAACAGCCAAAAACACCCTAGATTTGATTGGAAATGATTAACCTACAGATACAAGGAGATTTCAGTAAAACTCAGGGAAAATAAAACACCTGTATATGTTAACTTATAGTCAAGAAGTCTTTGAAAAGAGCAAGAAAATAGGATTCATTTCACAGAGGAATAATTTAACAGCTGATTTCTTAGAAAAAATGCAAGCCAGAAGATAATGGATGATACGTTTGAGATGTTAGAAGAAAAGAATCTCTCCACCAAGAATCATAGATCCAGTGGAAATATTCTTCAAAATAAATGCAAAATAAAGACATTTCAGTCAATGAAGACTGATGTAATGTATTGCTGGCCAACCTTCTTTTAGAGAAATGATAAAATCCTAAAGGTTAAAGGGAAATATCAGAGAGTGACAAATCCACTAAGAGAAATGAGTATTATAAAAAATGTGGGTAAATTTTTGAACTATAATTTTTCTTTTGACTTAAAAACATAAAAACAATAATTATGACTTGCATTTATAACAGTTGTCATATATATCACAAAAATAGCATGAATTTGAGGGAGGAAGAAATAGAACTGTATTGTACAGTTTACCTAAGGTAAATGTTTAAATACTTATTTGAGAAAAACTTAGTGCAATTAGCAAAAGTCTGTTCCTAAGCCAGGACCTCATCACCCTCACCTCAGCCTAATGGAAGTTCCACACTAATTAATTATGGACAATATAAGGTCTCCTCTCCCCTCTGCTCCCAGTAAAGGAATGTGGTATTCCTCCAGGGTGGGCAGGTTGCCATAATAGCCCAGCCCTTCCAAAAATGTTTCAAAGGCTAAATCTGGTGAGTGCAGCCAAAAGGTCAAGGGCTCTCTTCCTCCACTAGTTGTGCATGGGTCAGAAACTTTCCTAAACAGGGCAGAGAATATTGTGATCCCAATCACCCTTGTTCTAGCTCACTAAAGTAGGGACAGTATCCCACAGGGAAAGACAGGCCTAGGAGACAGGCTTCGTTTGGCTAGCACCTGGAGCAATGGCTCAGAGTCTGGCCAAGAGGAAAAGCCCATAGTCATCCCCAAAGGAATTGGGTTTATTTGAAAGAAAATACAGAGTTCAAGCTAAGGGCATCCTAAAAACACATTTTGTGAGAAGCATTTAAAAAGGAGTCTGTTAGTTTTTAACTGTAATGTTAGCCAGCTAGTCTTCCAGGTGTGAAAACTAAGAAGGTAGTGAGTATGTGGTGTAACACAGCAGGTTAAGCTGCCCTTTGCAACATATGCATCCTGTATCATAATATCCTTTTGAGTCCCAGCTGTTCTGCTTCCAATCCAGCTCCCTGCTAATGTGCCTGGGAAGTAGCAGATGACAACTCAAATACTTGAATTCCAGCCACTAATGTGGGAGACAGGAGTATCTGGCTCTTGGCTTCAGCATGGCCAACCCAGGCTGTTGTAGCCATTTGGTAAGTGAACCAGTAAATCAGAAATCCTCATTCTCTCTCTCTCTCTCTCTCTCTCTCTATCTCTTTTTTTTTTTTTTTTTTTTGACAGGCAGAGTGGACAGTGAGAGAGAGAGAGACAGAGAGAAAAGGCTTCCTTTGCCATTGGTTCACCCTCCAATGGCCGCAGCCGGCGCACCGCGCCAATCCGATGGCAGGAGCCAGGTACTTATCCTGGTCTCCCATGGGGTGCAGGGCCCAAGTGCCTGGGCCATCCTCCACTGCACTCCCGGGCCACAGCAGAGAGCTGGACTGGAAGAGGAGCAACTGGGACAGAATCCGGCGCCCCAACCTGGACTAGAACCCAGTGTGCCGGCGCCGCAAGGCGGAGGATTAGCCTAGTGAGCCGCAGCACCGGCCGCTCTCTCAAAATTAAATTTAAAAAGAAAAAAAAGGACAGAAAAAAAACACTCAAAGAATGACTTCAAATATTATTACTACCTGCATTTAGTTGAATCTGGTTGCAGTAATTGACTCATAAGTATTTTGTGAAAAACAGCCTGTAACCACTGGAGGTAACAAAGAGGTTACTTTAACAAAGAGTTGAGGAGCCAAAGCCATACAAAATCCACTGTCAACCAAAGGTGACTGCATTCTTAATTCTGTCACCAAGAGAAGATAAACATCAAAGACAATATACTGCAAGGGAAGTAGACTACTGACATAATATAGGCATGTTACTAAACAAAGAAAAAACAACCTATACAGGAGAAGGGAATTGATACTCATAGTTACTACAATATATTATCTTTAATCTTCAGTTTTCAGAAAGGGAAAAAATGAGACATTAAGAAACAGGAAAGTGTGACCCTTAAGTGGGGAAACAGCAACAAATATTGGGAGGAAACCTGTGAGGGGGCCCAAATGTTAGACTAAAGACTCAAGGCAGCCATTATAAATATAAATGAACTAAAGGAAACCATGCTTTAAAATTAAAAGATTGATGCCAACACTTATCAAAGAAAATAAGGAGATACATTTTTAATGGAAGTTCTTAAGCTGAAAAGTATAATGGAAATTAAAAGTTCACTATAGGAACACTACTATATATTTGGACTGGAAGAAGAGTCCTTGAACTTGAAGATCAATTGAAGAATGAACAAAACATCAGAGGGATGGACTGCATTAAGTTCATTAAATACATAGAAATGGAATACCAAAGGAGGGGGGAAACGGGGGAGAGACTGTATTTTTAAAACATGCACATAGAAAATATGTGCAAAATACACATTATCCTCTACAGCACACAGAACATTCCATGAAACATATGCTAGGCTATGAAAGAATCTTAAAGCTTTAAAGTATTGAAATCATACACAGTTGTTGACCACAATGGAATTAGGAATAACAAAGCTAAGGAATCTGCAAATATGTGGGAAATTTTACACACTCTTAAGTACCAATGTATCAAATAAGAAATCACAAATGAAATTAGAACATTAAATGAGCAAAACTAAAAAGCCAAAACATACAGGATGCTGCTAAAGCAGTTATTAGAGGAAATTTTCTATCTGCAATCTGCAAGTGACTATGTTAAATATCTGAGATCAATATCCTAGCATTCCAACTTAAGATGTAAACAAAAGAAAGCAAACTAAAAGCCAAAGGATACATTATGAAAGAATAAAGATCAGAGCATAAGTTAATTAACAGAAAAACAATGTGGGGGATGGTGCTATGGCATAGCAGCCGGTAAAGCCACCACCTGTAGAGCTGCCCTCTCATATGGGCACTGGTTCAAGTCCCGGCTGCCCCACTTCCCATCCAGTGCTCTGCTATGGCCTGGGAAAGCAGAAGATGGCCCAAATCTTTGGGCTCTTGCATCTGCTTGGGAGACCCAGAAGAGGCTCCTGGCTCCTGGCTTCACATAGGCACAGCTCCAGCTGTTGCAGCTGTTTAGGGAGTGAACCAGTGGATGTAAGACCTCTGTCTCTGCCTCTCTGTAAGTCTGCCTTTCAAGTAAATAAATAAATCTTCCATCAGAATAACTGAAACTTGACAAGATCAACAAAATTAACAAACCTTGAGCTAGACTAACCAAAAAAAAAAACACAAGAAATAAGGGGACGTTACTATCAATATAGTAAAACAAAGATTGTAAGGGAATATAATGACCAACAAATTTATATACTGATGAAATGGACAAATTCTGAGAAACACATCCAAGAAACAAAATCTGAATAAACCTGTAACAAAAAAGATTAAACCAGTCATCATACACTAGTCACAAAAACCTAAGGCTGAATGGTTTCACTGCTAAATTCAAACACAGGAAAAATTTATACTAATTATTTACAAACTCTTAAAAAATAGAACATTTCCCAACTTGTTATATGAGACCAGTATTTCCCTAATACTAAAACCAGAAAAGAAATCATAAGAAAACTAAAAGCTAGTATCTGAGCAAATTTGATCCAGCAGTATATAAAAACAATCACATTTCTTGACCAACTGGGATTTATCTTTCAAATAAATAAATAACTTTCAAATAAAATAAATCTTTTAAAAAAATTTATCCCTAGGTATATATATTTTGTAGCTAATGTAAATGGGGCTGTTTCTTAATTTCTCTTTCAGCAAGTTCATTTCTGATGTATTAAAATGCAATTTTCTAGGCCGGCGCCGCAGCTCACTAGGCTAATCCTCCGCCTTGCTGCGCCGGCACCCCGGGTTCTAGTCCCGGTCGGGGCACTAGATTCTTTCCTGGTTGCCCCTCTTCCAGGCCAGCTCTCTGCTGTGGCTCGGGAAGACAGTGGAGGATGGCCCAAGTGCTTGGGCCCTGCACCCCATGGGAAACCAGGAGAAGCACCTGGCTCCTGCCACCGGATCAGCGCAGTGCGCCGGCCGCGGCGGCCATTGGAGGGTGAACCAACGGCAAAGGAAGACCTTTCTCTCTGTCTCTCTCTCTCACTGTCCACTCTGCCTGTCAAAAAAAAATGCAATTTTCTTATATAATTACTTTATATTATGCAACGGTACCAAATTAGTTTATCACTTTGAACAGATTTTTGGTAAGTACTTAGGTTTTTTTCTACGTGTAAATTCATGAGATAAAAACATGGGCATTCTGGCCTCCACCTTTCCCTAAATCTTTTTTTTTTTTTTTTGTCTTTTCTTTTTCTTCCCTGCAAGATTGGTTTAACCTCCAAAATTCAATTAATATAATAAACCATTTTGACGGAACAAAGTACAAAAGTATACAATCATCTCAATAGACATAGGGAAGTATTTGACAAAATTCAACTACCCTGGGGCTGGCGCCATGGCTCACTTGGTTAATCCTCTGTCTACAGCACCGGCATCCCATATGGGCACCAGGTTCTAGTCCCAGTTGCTCCTCTTCCTGTCCAGCTCTCTGCTGTGGCCCGAGAAGGCAGTGGAGGATGGCCCAAGTGCTTGGGCCCTGCACCCCATGGGAGACCAGGAGGAAGCACCTGGCTCCTGGCTTCGAATCAGCACAGCGCCAGCTGTAGTGGCTATTTGGGGAGTGAACCAATGGAAGGAAGACCTCTCTCTCTGTCTCTCTCTCTCTCTCTCTCTCTCTCTGTCTAACTCTATCTGTCAAATAAATTTAAAAAAAAAATTCAACTACCCTTAATGTTAAAAACACTGAACCATCTAAGAGTAGAAGGGCACTTAACCTGATAAAACAGCATTGACAATAACTTCACCTGACATCATTTTTAATGATGAAAGCTTTCTGAGCTCAAGAACAAGCAAGTCAATATATGACAAGTTGCTAGTCAATATAGGGAAAAGGAAAAAGTATTTCCACTAAAACCTGGAACAAAATTGGGATGTCCTTTTTCACTGTTCCTATTAAATATAGTATTGGAAGTTTTAGCAATAGCA